TTATCTATTTTAAAGAAGCAAAATACCCTCCAAGATACATCTTAGAAAACAAATTACATATACAAACACAACATTAAAATTCCCTGTTTCATACAGGAATATTTTTTTTTAAAAAAAAATGTTGAAATAGGTTGAAAATTTATTTTACTTACAAAATAACTCCAAAAATTTAACAGAATTATTCAAAAGTCTATTTCCTTGCTCCTTTGCTAGCAGAACAAAGGATTGATTCCTATCCTTACAAGGTGTACCTATAAGGTACAATCTATTAAATAAAAATAATAATTTATTTTTATATTTATTTTATTTACATTTATTTAAGGATAAATACTGTGCACTTAAATATGAGACATATTATTTCTCATTGTAAATATTAACTACAATTATATATTTTTATTAATCTCCTGTGACCTAAACCCCCTTATAATAACAGTACAATGTAAAATTGACTATGGATAAATAAAGTCATCATTGTAAGAGTAGCTTTTTCTGAAAAAAAGTGTTCTTTTTGAAATAAAGTTCTATTCACTATAGTCCTCTTAGACTTAATATGAATTTTAGTGCCTCTAATTATAGATTGAAGTGAAGTCTAGAATAAAAACCACTGGCTGATGACTGAATTTAAAGATAGTTGTTAATATTTCAGACTTATATAAAAAAAGACTGCAGGAAATCTGGTACAGAAAGGAAATAGGAATCAAACTCTTTTGCGGGGGAAGGTTAATAAGGGAACTTGAAATGTAATGAGTAAATAATGATTAGGAAATAATTGCTCTGTTATAAAGATCTCTTTTACTTGTCACTACTGTACCTCTCATAACAAGCTCAAATAATGAGTGCTAACAGGTTTAGCCAAAACAGAATAGAAGTATTATCCATCCCAAGGTTGGAAATACGCATATTAGTATTGTGCTAACTACTGGTAGTTGCAATTGGAATGTTTTTTCCAACATTTATGGGAACAAAAAAGAGGGAAAAGAGCTAAATTAACTTTCAGGGAGCAAAACAAAATTTTCAACGGTGGTGATTTTGAATTATAATTCCCTTTTTTATTGTCTTTATTTCCCTCCTTTTTATGTTAGTGATATACTTGAGCTACTGCTAGTACATTTCCACTGCCATTTACTCCTAGTGTGTCTTGGAGTGGTATAGTGTGATTAGGTTCATATATTGTACCAGGCCAAAATGTGGTTTCTTCATATTGACCTAACTTGTGTGAACTGAATTAATGGTGGCTTATTGAATAAATCATGATAAAACTATATTGATATGCACACATAGTCTATATCTCCTGTAGCTGTGTTTATATATTTTCCTCTCCATTTCCCCCAGAATAATTGTCTGTTAGGCTGGGAGAAAGAGACTGGTCCAAAGTCACATAGCCAAGGAAATCCACAGAAAGTCTTGAACCAGTCACTCAGCCTCGATCCAACCTAGATCACAAGATGGTGGCTGTAGAGAAAAATATGAGGAGGAAGTACACCTAAGTAAAAGGCAGGATATAAATCAAATATATATACATACACAAATAATTATGATTAAGACATGGTTTAGGTTTGGTTATAAGTAATGCAAAGCCACCAACCACAGTAGCTAGGATTTCATATCTAACAAGTGGAATTTACCATTTTGCTGCTTTAATAGTGTTACCTGAATAGTAATGGACTTTCTAATATAGCACTTTATTCCTTCAGTAGCCAGAGATAGATTTTTACCACAGATTGCTTCAAGGAATGTGTGTTACCTCTCTTTCCTGATCTCCTACAAAATGTGGTTGGTGTGATGATTAGAATGGCAAAGTGGAATTAGGTGGAGGAGTCAGATATAAATCTCCAGAATCAAACAATAAGACATATAAAGAATATATTATGCAGTTTTTCTTCCAGTTAAATTTGCTCGAGTTAATTACATAATCCATTCCAGAGAACTCAGCACAGGATCTTTTCCTTATCCATTTTTTCAGGACAAAAGAAAAATCATCCTAAGTGCCTTAAATCTTCACTCATATCAAATCTTTTATTTAAAAAAAAAAAGCTATGTGTGATATGAAGTTTTTTTTATAAGAAAGAAAACCTATGAATTCCTAAACATTTTTAAAAGCTTGTATTTTTTTCAAACCTAGAGAAATGTTATTCAGAGGCATCCAGCCCTTACAGTCAAGTTCTGTAATTACTAGATTGGGAGAGAATTATTTGATATTTTAATTATGGACATACCAAATCCTGTGTCAGAATGAAGACATAGACTTTTTGCTGATAGACAGCAAGAAGAAAGCCAAGCTTCAGTGGCCAAATATTTCATGCTGTATCCCAGATTGTAATGTATTTAAGAGCTGTCTAACAAGTATAAATTAATAAATTAGGTATTTTTGTAAAGACTCTACACTGAAAGGAATTCATAAGATTGCAGTAATTCAGTAATGATCCATTTTCTTTCAAATGGTCTTGAGAAAAATGTTTGAGAATAAGAAAAAAGAATGAGGGATTTATTAATTATAGATGTATTAATTACACTAGTCACCACAAGGTAGAAAATGGAGAGGAAACCCGATTGAATACAATATAATAATGAAACATTATTCTCTTCAAATAGTGGAAAAGTATATTTTTGGCTGGGCTTTTTCCTTAGTTGGATATCATATTGATTTTGTTCCTCATTATTAACATAATATTTGTCCAGGTAACTGATGACAAACTCTCTAATTAACAATCAGAATTTGCACTGACTTTGGGACTTGAAAATCTACCCCAGTCTTTGCATCTTTATTGGAATTCCTAAGCAAAATTGGTACTCCAGGTGCCATGTTCTTGCCCCATGTTATTTTTTCCTTTGGGGAAGAATGATTGAGGGGGATGCGGTAAATACTTGCAGATCCATGCATATTTTAAAAAATGCAAATAGCTTTGGACAGCGCACCAAAGAGATAATAAAATAAACTTCAGATTAAATTTGAATTATTAAAACCATATTGTTAAATAAGATATTAACCGCTGAAGAAAAATCATCCTTAGAAACCTCAAAGGGTAATTTAAAAGGGGATATCTGTGCTTTATGACTGTCCTTTCACTACAGGCAATATAGAAAACAATCAGAATCACATTTTACACCAGTGTTTTTCAGCTTTGGCTACTTTAAAATGGGTAGACTTCAAGTCCCAGAATTTGCATTCAACATGGCTAAGTGGAGAATTCTAGGAACTGATGTCCACCCATCTTAAAGTTGCCAAGGTTGGGAAACACTGCTTTAGACAATAACCAGGCAGGTACAGAAAACAGTCCTCTTGAGTTGTTGGATGTTTAGGGCAGCATTTTATTAGTTACTAACAAAATCTCTAAAATCTCTAAATGAACTTGCTAAAGTGTTCTTTTCTCTTCCAAGTTCTTTGTTAGAAGATTGGGCAACAAGAGATCACTTTATTTCCTGTTAGAGTTCATAAGATAAGAAATTGCTTCTCTTCTTAAGTTCTTCTCCAAGCTGAGGTAGTAGATTTAGGCTACTGTAGTGCATATCTTTATCTCAAACTTTGATCCGTTGAGCTAGCAGGACTGCTAAATTATTAAGTTAGTATATAGATGATAATAAATGTTTTATTTAATCTTGATTTAGCAAAGGAATATGAGAATTCTAACGAATTAATTTCAGCTATACTTTTGTTTTTGGAAAGGATATTGTGTAAATATATTTCTTTGACTCTGCTGAAATAAACCAATACTTATGTAAAATATCATGACAAGAGATAGTTGGTTAATTGAGAAGATGGAACCAAAGTTCTGATAACTAAGAGATTCACTGAAAACATTTCCTTTCCAAATTTGATTAAACACTCATATTTTTAAAAGGTAACATGTTCTAGTTTGATAACAGTTCATGAAGCCTGTCGAGAACGCTGTCGATTTATCCAAAATAATTTTTTCACCTAAAATTTAGTATAAGAATGACATAGATGAATCAGTCAGATTGATATGTTCTTCAGGATTAGAAGCTATTTTTTTGTTGAATATTGACCCAACTCAAATTTACCTCTGTCATGAGTGAAATAGATTTCGCTGCATTCTTGAAAATCTTTCAAAGAGTACATTAGCATGGTGTTTGCCATGACAGCACTGTCTCTTCAGTTAAGAAGCACATAGCAATCAATCTGCCACTTAGCAGAATTTTTTTCCAGTTTTCACAGTCAGAAAATGTGCAAGTTCAGATGTTTTTTACTACTTTGAATACCTCCTTTTTAATAAGAAGAAATCAATGATCTTATCATCTGACAAGTAAAACTTCTGTTTCCTTCTTTCAACAACAGCATTCCACCCCCCATCCTCCAAATAGTCAAATATTAGCTTTCATGTCATATAGTCTTCCAGGTGTACTGGATGCTTACATTATTATTGATTAATCCTATGGACAACAACTAAAATGTAACTGCAGACAAAGCTTATGAATTATTCCATTTAGATTTTGTGAAACAGAAATCAAGCTTAATTATCCACTGTAATCTGAGATCAAAAATCTCTTTATAAATTTCTTTAAATTTGATTTATTCCTTCATACTGAGATTCAATCAATACAGAATGTACAGTCATGCTTTAGGAAACTTGCTGACAAAAAAGAATTTACTGGGCAAAACATTCATCTGATAGATACAGAAACAATTTTGATGTTCTTTGATTTTATTGTTACCAGAGAGGATAAATGTGTTGTCATAGAGGAAAGAAGTTCTAAGAACAATTTGGCAGTGAATTCATTTATTACTGCATATGACAATTTTAGAATTTGGAGAGGTGATTTAAAAGAAATATATTGTATTATATATTTTATAATTTTTGTCTACAGCCAGTTTGAGTGCTACAGCTCTGTCATGTGCTTTTGCTGATTACTTTCATGTAAAACAAGAGGTATTGACTAATGAATGAATGATGTACAGTCTTTAGCCCTTGCAGCACGCATTTAAAGATCATTGTCTTTAATGCACAGAAACCTCTTTCTCTCCCATTCTCTTTACAATGCAGGCTTCTTTGCAGAATGTCAAGCAAGGATCGACACATTGATTCTAGCTGTTCGTCATATATCAAGACGGAACCATCAAGCCCCGCCTCCTTGACGGACAGCATCAACCATCATAGCCCTGGTGGCTCCTCTGACGCCAGTGGAAGCTACAGTTCAACCATGAATGGACATCAGAATGGGTTAGATTCACCACCACTCTACTCTTCAGCCCCCGGTCTTGGGGGTAATGGGTCTGTCAGGAAACGATACGATGATTGCTCCAGTACCATTGCTGAAGATTCACAAACCAAGTGTGAATACATGCTGAACTCAATGCCCAAAAGATTGTGTTTGGTTTGTGGTGATATTGCATCAGGGTATCACTATGGTGTGGCTTCATGTGAGGCCTGCAAGGCTTTCTTCAAGAGGACAATTCAAGGTCAGTGCTTGATTACCCTTTTTCACAGCTGAAGAAAACCATAGCACAATTTTGTCTCTCCTCCCCCCTCCCTTTGTTTTCTATGGAACCATTTTGTATAATTTGATTGGATCAAATCATGCTTGTGCTAGGATCCAGTATATTCTGTTGATATGGTTATGTGAGTGAAGGCTGCACAGTTTAGATTGTCAGTTTTTATTTTGATATAAAATTTTAGATTAAGATGTTTTATCCATAGACGCCTCTTTCTTTCTTATCAGTCTTCTTTGGATGCGGGAGACTTCCTTTACAAAAGTTAATACAACTTTCCAGAAGTAACTCCTGATACCCTCTGTCATGTTTATCTTAGCCTTTATTTTGTCTCGTGTGTGTGTATGTTTGTGTGTTTTAAAAGTATATTTGAACAATAAGATGACCAGTTCCAAAATACATTTTATAATTTAACACATTAATGTACTTCTTTGATACAAGTTAGCAAATAAGCCTTGTAAGTATTTTTACATATTTTAGCTAAATTTTAAAATATTTGTAATGATTGCTGTTCTACTATTACAGCTGATATGCTTTCACATTGTGCTAAGTTCATTGTCATTGTTCATTCATCCATTGTCTTCGTTTCCACAAGATGTTACTCTTTACTTTATAAAGAGTAACCATTAGGATCACATAACCCACTAAGTCAAAATCAAATAAGGTATGGTATAGCTTATCATATACTGTATGAATCAGGTTATTGTGTGATTTCTTATGTTTTATTTATAAGGTAATTTCATGTCCTACCTTAAGTAGTTCTGTTTATAGAAATGGTACAGCTTGAGTATTAAAGGCTATGATGGGATCAACAATTTTTTTTTTGGCTCTTGTACCATCAAGCAATTATGCTAGCTCATAAGTAAAAATGCAGAAATATTGAGAGAATTCAGGCAAGTTCTTATGTGAAATTGCCAAAAATCACAAGAAAACAAGAGATTTTAATGAAATCTCATGAAATTTGACCGAATAACAAAATAACAGAGTTGGAAGGTACCTTGAATGTCTTCTAGTCCAACTCCTGCTCAAGCAGGAGACCTTATACCAGGGTTGTCAAACTCTCAGCCCATGGGCCGGATGCATCACATGCTGGCCACGCCCATGCCTGGTTTAGTGAAGTTTAGGGAAAAGTTGTGATATGTCATGTGACGATGACATGAGACGACACAAGTTTGACACCCCTGCCGTATACCATTCCAGACAAATGGGTATCCGGTCTCTTCTTAAAAGCCTCCAGTGATGGAGCACCCACAACTTCTGAAGGCAAGCCGTTCCACTGCTTTATTGTTCTCACTGCTAAGAAATTTCTCTTTTGTTCTAGGTTGCTTCTCTCCTTGACTAGTTTCCATCCATTGTTTCTTGTTTTGCCTTCTGGTGCTTTGGAAAATAGGTTGATCCCCTCTTTTTTGTGTGTTCAAATTTTGGAACACAGCTATCATGTCACCCCTAGTCCTTCTTTTCACTAGAAATACTCGATTCCTGTAACTGTTCTTCATATGTTTTAGCCTCTAGCCCTCTAATTATCTGTGTTGTTCTTTTCTGCACTGTTTCCAGAGTCACAATATCTTTTTTATAATACGGTGACCAAAACTGGATGCAGTATTATAAGTGTGGTCTTACTAAGGCTTTATAGAGCGGTACAAATACTGTTTATTTCTCTCCTAGATCTTTTCGCATCCTCAGGTAAGATAGATTTTGGATTGTTGTGCAGTTTCCTTAAGGATATTATGCATTACTCTAAGTTATAAAAATGTTTTTTTATTGAATAATAATAAATAAACCAATAATAAGATCCCATCTGAAATATGTAGAGTTTCACTTTAGTTTCTTCCTGCTTCAATATTTAGGACATGATTACTAATGAAAATTACTGCTCTCTGCTTAGTTATAAAATAACAGTAACCAGAAAGAAAATGTTCACCAGGCTCCCACAAAGACCAGAATACATATTGCCAAGACTACTCTATATCTTTATTGTATGTCAAAAAATGGTAGTGTGTACACTTCTTGAAAACTTCTTAGCTAACATTCTGAATGGTCATTCAGAATTTAAACCTGGTCAGCTTTCACACCCTTCATGTTCTCTTTCAATGCCACTGTCACAGAAGAGAAAAAAAAATATTTCCTTTTATCTCTAGCTCTCGTAGTGACTGTTGATAATACTTACTAGTTTACATTCTCTGCATTCCTGCTGTCCCATTTTGGTAAGCCTACCAAGTTAGGCTAGAATTTTCCAGCCACTAATCAAATATTGACAGTCTAATACATGTTTATAGATTCCAGTATATCTTTGGTATAATTATACAGTTAAAAAAGAACCTAAAAGTCATCAGATGGTTTTTAATGTGGCCATCTATCAGACATTAACTCAGAAAAATAACAGAACAAGGCTCAAAACAAAAGAAATATTGGGAAACCTCCTTAAGACTATTTGCCCATCTAAGCTAGTATTATTTACTCTGACTGGCAACAGTTATCCAGGGGCTCATGGAAAGATCTGCCATCAGCTGCTACCTGACACTTTTAGCTACAGATGCTATGCATTGAACCTGGGACTTTATGAATGCAGAACATATGTTCTGTCATTGAGCTACGATTTCTCCCCGCTAAGCTGCAGAAAATCCCTGCAGAGAACATGTTGCTCTTGATAATTCAAGCAGAGGCATCAAAAATAAAACAGAGCACAAAACAGGTCACAATCCAAATCCAAATCCAAAGTGGTCTCAATAAGATTTCTTCGCAGTTCTAAAACTAAAAGCCAATGACCATGTAGCACTGAAGATTCATGCAAGACTTCCTAGAGAAACGTCTGCCTAGTTATTCTAAACAGAGTTTTGATCTTCAGTGGTAGAAATAATAACATTGTGATTAGAGGCTTGAGCCCAAGTTATAGCATGCTAAGTGCAGAATAACATGAAACATATTGAATTCTCATTTTTTATGGATAAAAGTTGTGTTCAAGAAAAGAATCTGCATAGAATCTTTAGTTCATGTATTAATGGATAAATTTTTTAAAAGCATGGGATTATACTATTGTTTTATAGTTTGGGGCATAAGGTGAAAAAGATAGTTGAATCATCTGATTGTTATTCCTATTTAACTAATATGTATGTGTGTGAGAGGGAGAGAGAGAGAGAGAGAAAGAGAGAGAGAGAGAGAGAGAGAGAGAGAGAGAGAGACCGCTCACCCACCCGCCTGCTCAGGATTGAAGTGTGCAGCCTTGATGCTCTTTGAACTTGGTTGATTGCCCCCAGACATTAACTGGTATGATGATCTTTAGTTGGACAATGAAACTTCGGCAAGCAAACAACCAGGTTCAGAGAGCATCAAGGATCCCATCAAAGATCATTTGTTTCTCGAGTTGTAATAGTTTCTGCCAAATTAATTGCCTGGATTTGGTCAACTTTTGTTTCTCTGAAAACAAAAGCAATGAACCAAATTATCTATGACCTATCATAATAGCAAAAAGAGTGACTATATCAAGGCCACCCGAAGTTGCATGCTTTAACCCAAAATTCCTACAGGCAATATATTATTCTCCTTTCTCTTTCTACATCTATTTCCATGATTGTAATCCCATTTATTCAAAATGTATTGCTACTCCTCTCAATTTATATCTTACCCCAAACTATGATGACTTCACATCATAGAAAAGTGAAAACTAGCAAGTTCTAAAAATAGTGCATTGATTTTAGAGCTTGTCAATTTTATCTGTATTCAGTAGTAACTTGAAAAATGGCATGCTTTAAATAAAGAAGTAAATAAAATTCAAAATTTCTTTACAGGCAGTAAGCACAAAACATAATGCCCTAGAATTATAACAGAGAAAGATGTCCCTATATTACAGAATGCTAATTCCATAGAACTAGCTCCGCCTAATTAAGTGAGCCTTGAACTTATGACCTTTTATGTTGTAGTGACCAGTTAAAGTTGACAGTAGTTTCAGTAGCAAATCATGATACAGGTATATTCTAGTTCATGTCAAAAGACTAATTACAGTAGATAGATCTAACAGAATGATGAATAATTAGGGAAATAACCTTGTATCATGAAAGCCAGTGGATACGTTTACATAGCATGTAATGTGCCAAATGGAACAGTTCTCATGGCAGACTTAATATCTGATCTTCTAATCAGCCTCTTAAATGTCATGGTAGCTTGTTCCTACTTTTGCCAGATGTTCTAAAACCAATCTATAGTCGATTGGCCAAGTTGGTGTTTGTGTGTGTGTGAGTGAGTGAGACAGAAAGAATGGACAAGTCAATCTAGTTTCATCCAGATATATTGCACATTTTTTATGCTGGATGAATTGGTGTGATGGAATGTGCACCTGGAGAAGGAATGGGTGAGAATGTCAGCAATACAAGGAAAAGGTTCAGCATAGCCTCAGCCTAGAACTTCCCAGAATATATCTGTTAGAAGGTTATAGCCTTACTCTGGTGAGATTCTGTCGATTAGGTGTAAGCAAATAAAGAATTGAACACAATTGGATATCACTGTGTTGTCTTTGGGCTTAAGCCACATTGTTGAAGTTTACCATAGCTTAAGGCGCCTCAGATATAAAATCTCAAAATTGATACTTTTGTAGGAGGAAATAGCTAGAAGCATAACCATTGTTTGAAGCTTATTCAAGATGGGTTTTGAGCTTGAGAACTCTGTAGTGCCATTAATGGTCCATGTACAGTTATTGATACATTTATCCCGCCCTGGGTCTTCGGAGAGGGGCGGCATATAAATTGAATAAATAATAAATAAATAAACAAACAAACAAATAAATAAATAAATAAATAAATAAATAAATATTTGTTTTATTTGTACCTTATCATTTTGCCAACCTGAGATTAATGAAATTGCTAGTTTATAGCAGGGGTGAACTCTACTTACCTTCCTTACCGGTTCGGAAGTACATTTGTGTGCAGACCTTCTGCGCTTGTGCAGAGGGTAAAAAACACATTACTTCCTGGTTAAAA